GCTCAATGGGCCTCACCTGGTGAGATAAAAATTGTTTAGTTTAGAGTTTAGTTTATAGTTTAAGTCTAGGGTACGTGGAAGTGGGTCTCGGCACCCCTGACAGCAGCGGTTACAACCCCTTCCTGGCCCCGCGGGTCGTTGTCGTCAAACCCGCTGAACGTCCGAGAGGACCAATACGCCCGCGTTGTTAACCAGGGCGGCCTGGCCGAGTCGGACCACGAACGTCCGCGACGAGTGGCGAACGCGCAGCCGCTTGGGCCAATGCAAGTGGTGCACGCTGCTCGACGTGGCATACAAGCGTCACACACCTGCGTCACACACCTGCGTCACACACCTGCGTCACACACCTGCCTCACACACCTGCGTCACACACCTACCTCACACACCTGCGTCACACACCTGCCTCACACACCTGCGTCACACACCTGCGTCACACACCTGCGTCACACACCTGCCTCACACACCTGCGTCACACACCTGCCTCACACACCTGCGTCACACACCTGCCTCACACACCTGCGTCACACACCTGCCTCACACACCTGCGTCACACACCTGCCTCACACACCTGCATCACACACCTGCGTCACACACCTGCGTCACACACCTGCCTCACACACCTGCGTCACACACCTGCGTCACACACCTGCGTCACACACCTGCCTCACACACCTGCGTCACACACCTGCCTCACACACCTGCGTCACACACCTGCCTCACACACCTGCGTCACACACCTGCCTCACACACCTGCGTCACACACCTGCGTCACACACCTGCCTCACACACCTGCCTCACACACCTGCGTCACACACCTGCCTCACGCACCTGCCTCACACACCTGCCTCACACACCTGCCTCACACACCTGCCTCACACACCTGCGTCACACACCTGCGTCACACACCTGCCTCACACACCTGCGTCACACACCTGCCTCACACACCTGCGTCACACACCTGCATCGCCACAACCCACCTTCAGCCCAGAGCAGTTTCATTGCATCCACGTGCCCGCGTTCTAACGCACACTAACACCCATGCACCCGCGTTTGAACGTGCTCCAACACCCCCGTGCACTTGTTCCCGCACCTCCAATGAGCGCGGTTGGCTACGTACGGTGCGAAAGAAGTTCAACGTACATAACGCACCCCGACATCCACGGCGCCCGCGTTTTAACGTGCTTCAACACCCACATGCCGGCATTCTAACGCACGTTAACACCCACGTGTCCGCATTCTAACCTGATCCAACACCCACGCGATAACGAACCACCACACCCACGTGTGCGCGTTCTAACGCCCCCGAACACCCCCACGCCCGCGTTCAAACACCCACACTCCCGCGTTGCAGTGTGCTCAAACACCCACGCGCCCGTGTTGTAACGCACACCAACACCCACGGCAACCTGCATCCTGACACCCCCGCGTCCGCGTCCTGGCGCACGCACACCCGCGGCACGGGGAGCTCCGAGCAACGTCGACGCTTCGAGAACGCCGCGAAGCGGAAACGCTTCCCGTGAGAGCGCCCATTGTTCCCCGCGCCACCCGGCGTGCGGGCAGAGCCGGGCATCGGGGAGGTTAACGATTGCTTCGGGGGGGGCGGGGGCGGCAGTGGAGGGGGGGGGGGGGGTCTCCATCGTTTTTGGTAAAGCACGTGACGGCGTGTCAGGCTGCACGGGGCGACGCGTTATTTCCCGAGCGAAGCGTTCGGCGCCCGCGGCCACGCCTGAACACTGGGCCCATTGTGGCCGAGGCGGACTCCGCGACGACGGATCGCGAAATCAAACCGCCGGGACGTTTGGCGCTCGCATCGCTCCTGTGGCGGCGAGGCCGTGGGGGGGGTGGAGGGGGCGGGGAGCGAAAAGGGGGGCGCGAGCAGATGTGGCCAAATGATTTTTACCCAATTAAATAATTTGATGGTCATTTACAAGAATTTGGCAACTTAACACCGTGACGACGGTAAACACGGCCGTCTGAATAACATTACGGGAAGTTTGGCGTCCGCTGCGGAGCAGACGGCGCACGTTTGACGCAGCATTAACCGGGGCTGCCGTCGGGTTTGAACCGTGAAAGTCCGCAACAAGCCCCCAACGGAACGCTGCTCGACCCCAAGGTAACGTAGGCCGAAGCAGAAAATTTGCCATTGTGGAGGATGTGCGTGCGAGCCAGCGACACGCGTGCTAGCACACGTGTAAACACGCGTGCGAATAACACGTGTGCGCGAGCGACGCGAGCAGTGCGAGCGTCGTGTGAATCTGGTAAACCCCGCCCCCCCCCCCAAAGTGCCCAACCCCCCCCCACCCTGCCCCACCCCGCGTGGTGGACGCGGTGCGGCTGCTGAGCTCATTGTGGTGTGAAATTACAGAGTGGTGCCCGAGCCGAGCGGCGCTGGCACTGAGCAGCAGGAATGCGGAGCGTGTACGCGCGTGCAGGGTGTACGCGCGTGCAGGGTGTACGCGCGTGCAGGGTGTACGCGCGTGCAGGGTGTACGCGCGTGCAGGGTGTACGCGCGTGCAGGGTGTACGCGCGTGCAGGGTGTACGCGCGTGCAGGGTGTACGCGCGTGCAGGGTGTACGCGCGTGCAGGTGTACGCGCGTGCAGGGTGTACGCGCGTGCAGGTGTACGCGCGTGCAGGGTGTACGCGCGTGCAGGTGTACGCGCGTGCAGGGTGTACGCGCGTGCAGGGTGTACGCGCGTGCAGGGTGTACGCGCGTGGAGCGTGTACGCGCGTGCAGGGTGTACGCGCGTGCAGGGTGTACCCGCGTGCAGGGTGTACCCGCGTGCAGGGTGTACCCGCGTGCAGGGTGTACCCGCGTGCAGGGTGTACCCGCGTAGAGGGTGTACGCGCGTGGAGCGTGTACGCGCGTGAGCGTGTACGCGCGTGCAGGGTGTACCCGCGTGCAGGGTGTACCCGCGTGCAGGGTGTACCCGCGTGCAGGGTGTACCCGCGTAGAGGGTGTACGCGCGTGCAGGGTGTACGCGCGTGGAGGGTGTACGCGCGTGGAGGGTGTACGCGCGTGGAGCGTGTACGCGCGTGGAGGGTGTACGCGCGTGGAGGGTGTACGCGCGTGGAGCGTGTACGCGCGTGGAGGGTGTACGCGCGTGGAGCGTGTACGCGCGTGGAGCGTGTACGCGCGTGGAGCGTGTACGCGCGTGCAGGGTGTACGCGCGTGGAGCGTGTACGCGCGTGGAGCGTGTACGCGCGTGGAGCGTGTACGCGCGTGCAGGGTGTACGCGCGTGGAGCGTGTACGCGCGTGGAGCGTGTACGCGCGTGGCAGGGTGTACGCGCGTGCAGGGTGTACGCGCGTGCAGGGTGTACGCGCGTGCAGGGTGTACGCGCGTGCAGGGTGTACGCGCGTGCAGGGTGTACGCGCGTGCAGGGTGTACGCGCGTGGAGGGTGTACGCGCGTGGAGGGTGTACGCGCGTGCAGCGTGTACGCGCGTGCAGCGTGTACGCGCGTGCAGGGTACACGCGCTTCCATCCTACGCGCTCGCTGTGCGTGTATTCGCCGCGTACCGGTTCGGCGCGTACGCCCCGCGCCACCGTGCGCAAACTGCGCGTTCACTCGGTCCACGTGTCTCCCGCGGGTATGCACTTCGCTGCGCGCGCACAGCACCGTAGAAACTGGGCCCGGCACTGGGTGGCCAGACGGGGTTTTAAAGGGACAGCGTGGAAGCCGTGGTGGCTAACGATGCAACGGCAGCCGATGCCATCCCCGAACACGGCCGCCCATCCCCTACGGCCTCAACCGTGAGCACGTACAGCCCTCTGGGCACAGCTTCCAACGTGAGCACACCCAGCCCCTGGGCCACAGCGTCCACCGCACGCTGCCCTCGGGCTACAGGCTCGACCGTGAGCACACCCAGCCCCTGGGCTACAGCGTCCACCGCACGCTGCCCCCGGGCTACAGGCTCGACCGTGAGCACACCCAGCCCCTGGGCCACAGCGTCCACCGCACGCTGCCCCCGGGCTACAGGCTCGACCGTGAGCACACCCAGCCCCTGGGCTACAGCGTCCACCGCACGCTGCCCCCAGGCTACAGGCTCGACCGTGAGCACACCCAGCCCCCTGGCCACGGCCGCCAGCGGCAGGGCGATCTAACGGCGGTGCCGGCGGTTAACGAGCCCACGCGCGCGCCAAGCTGCCGTCACGGTAAACACGCTCGTTTGGCTGCCGCCGATCGCGTGCGGACAAAGAGACCCCGATTTTGGGACAGCGATCGCCGTCTCGCACCGGGCTTCCGTCGAGTAGGCGGCTGGATAACCGCGGCGGCACGCGAGCGAGAACATTTTTATTTGTGCGAGTTGAGCAACTTCCCAGTTCTCGAAGCGGGGGCTGTTTACGTTTCGACAGCCGCGCACCGTGCCGACCGCGCGCCGTCATTGAAGTGGCGTCCACGATTATAACCGCGACCGGATAGAATACATCAACGTACTGATTATTTCGGATTAAAACACAACACTGCAACTGAAATGACGCAATTCTATTTTTTTATATTCCAGTTGCAAGAATAGTTACGAAAATCATTATGTATTTGGACGACAGCGAGTATGAATTTTGTAACCATCCCAGCCCATGCCTCCAACGATTTTTCGACGGAACGAAACGGCCACGCGTTTGGTCAAAACAGCGCAAGTAGGAAACCCGGCAACGGCCGTCTGCATTCTTGAGCAGAGCTCCCAAAAAAATGTTCACCTCCCAGCCCCCACGTCCCGAGCCTACGTCCAGAACCGCTCTTGCCCCGCACCCGCCTGCAACGCAGCGGGGCGAGCACCCCCTCCACGTCGTCGTCCTGCCCCCCATCTTGCCCCCCCCTCCCTCCCCCCGCCGGGCGAGCCGCCACCGCGGCCACCGAGGGCCGCGCCGCGGTCCGCGGGGGTCCCGGCTCCGCGGAGCGTAACCGTAAATGGCGGCCGTTAAAATCGCGGCGCTCCGGGCCTCGTGTTTTTATAAGACGGGGGGTTTTTTTTCCGCTTTCTTTTTTTTTCTCGCAAATACCTCCAACGGCCGTGCGTCCCCTGCCCGGCGCGAACCCACGGGGCCTGCCAGGCGCGCGCCCTTGCCAGAAAAAGCCACCGCACGGCGGCGCCGTGATGGCCGCTCCCTCTTTCTCTCAAGCCGAGCCGCACGAACCTGGGAGGGGACACGCACGCACGCAAGCACGCGTGAGATCTCAAACCACACGGCGTCCCGACAAACAGAGGTCGTTCGTTCTCCCGCGCTCTCTCTCCCTCTCTCTCCACGCCCGTGCCAAGGCCGCATCTCAAGGACTCTGTCAGAAGCTGTGCACGGCCCGGGCTGATGAGCCGGGACACGAGGAGGGAGAGGGAGGGACGGCGAGCGGGGGGCAAGAGTCGGAATTAGGGGAACCCGGGGAGAAGATCTGAGGAGAAGGAGACAGGGTGAGCAAGGCGGGGAGGAGACAGGATGAAGAGGATGAAGAGGATGAGGAGGGCAGACAGAACGAGGAGAGTAGAAGTGGAGGAGACAAGAGGAGGAAGAGGGTAGAGATGGCGGCATTGCGATGAATAACAATTGCTCAGAGCTGCAATTTGTATCTTAGCTTACAGACTGGGGGGGTTGACCCACATCACTTCGAGGTTGATGATATACCACTTTGTGGGGAGGTCAAGAGTGGATAGACTTGCTCCCACCATAGTAATGTGGAATGTGCAATTTCCATCACTGGCGCCGGGCTATAAACAGATGAACACCGCCTCGACGCTCGGTTGAGCAAGAAAATCACTATTTTTGTCGCTCCGTTTCCACCCCAGGTCTCCCTTGGCAACGGAGACTTCCATCTCCGTGCACGCAAGCACACGGGTGCATGCACGCGCGCGCGTGCGCATGCGTGTGCGGGAGACAGCGTCCCTCCAAAGGACAGAACGTTCCGCAGCAAAACACCGAGTCGGCCGCTCACCCACGCACGCGGGCCGGGAGTGCGGGACCTTAGTTTTCCTTGGCTCGCTCAGCCAAACGACGCCGGAGAGAGAGGGGGGGGGGGTCTCTGTCCTCGACCAACGCTCTGCCGAGGAACCGCCAAGGAGGGCTGTTCAATGACAACCACATTCACCACTACCGGCTCCGCATGTCAGGAACGCACTGATTAGCACGCGCCAATCTACAAACAGCACAGCGGTAAAAGTCACCGCGTGATTAGACGTGCCTTCTTTTTCTCAGCTGATGACCCTGTTATTGTTGGCTTGCTCACGCCAGAGAGCAGTATTTGGTCTACTCTTCCACGCTGACCAGACGTCTGGGAAGAGGTGGACAAGAGTCGCACACGACCTGTTGATCACAGACGGGTTTAATGACGACACTTATATTTACACGTGTATATTTACGCGATCTAACCCAAAAAAAACCTGTATTATGGATGATCACAGACCAACTGCGGTTGACCCCGTATACCCTGCTGGGTGGGCAGAGGCGGCTAAGGCATCGAGAAACTCGCCCCCATTGTTTCAACCGCGGTGCTGGGCGATGGAATCGAAGCGGCAGCGACCTCTCAACACCGCGCATGTCGCCCTCGGCATGCGGACGCAGCGCTTGCCGGGCTCGTGGTCGTCGTTGTTTTCCCGCGCTCGTCCTGCGGCCCCCGCGAGGCCGAGCCGCTCCCCCCGGGCGCACTCATTTGAAACCCGACGTGGAGTCCGCTCCGTTAAAAGAAAACCACTTGAGCTCAAGTCGGCCGGTCCTGCACGAGGAGGAGAGCGGGCGGCTCCCTCTTCACAGACCGCTACCCCCACATAAAATAAATACACAGAGCCATAGCAACCTCCCAGGGAGGGCGGGGGTGGGGAGATGGCGGTGGTGGCGGCAATCCTGAAATTTCAAGCTTTGAGAATTGGACCCGAAGTTCATAATAATAAATTCCACGTCCTTTCTCTGCTAAATATCAATGAAATGGTCTCAAGGGGCACGTTGATACTGGCATCAATAGCTTCGGGAAGCCAGGTGCCAATGTCGAGGTCTGTTGCTGCCCATATAGAGAGGGCTTCATCAGAGCGAGAGAGAGAGTGTCGTTTTGCTGTTCCTCCTCCTCTGTTGGAAGAGCACAGACCACTGTATTTACTGTCCGGTCCATAGTTTGGGTCGGATTGGCCACAATCGCCGTGAGTGTACTCGCCGCGTAGGAGATGTGCGCATTGGCCTGGTAACGTTCCGACGCGGTTGGTGGTCGCAGCAGGAAAGTCAAAGCCAGGAGAAGGCGCGGCGTTTGGGTCTCGAACGAGGGGCTCGTTCTGGACGCGGCACCTCCACCTGTTGCACGTTTTCACGTCACCTTGAACGCAACCGACACCGTCGACTCGGCAAAAACGGACGTCGCCAACGCGAATCCAGATACGATCAGGAGCCTGCACTGTACAGGCCACGAGGGGAGGGGGCTGCGAGGAATGAAACGTCGACACCATCTCCAGATAAACGGTCGTATATCACGGGGCCTTTTTTGCCAGTATCAATATAAAATTAAGAATAGGTTTTACTCTCTCCGGCAAAAAAACAGGAGGTGTTAAGATGTTGTAGGTCAATCAGTTTCAAAGGCAATGTATATATTTTCAGAGCATGTGTGTTTGCATGTTCACCACAAGTACGTGTGGTTAATACAGACTTGATTCCTTACAAAGGGTGAAACCGATTTTTGTTGAACGGTCCTTATGTTGACATGATGACCGACCACCCACTGGCAGACATTAGGTAACTATAAACAAATTATAAAGCGCAAATTTTATTTTACCAGGTGGGGCCCACTGAGCTATGTAGCTCTTTTTCGGAAGCGATGTGGCCACAAACGACGGCTCAACAAAAGTGGCTTACCATCATCATCATCACGTGGACATTTACAAGCAGCCAAAAACTCCAGCAGACAACCCCTTCAAAAGTTCTGCACTGAATTATGCATAAACTCATTAATTAAAAAAAGCAGAACGTGTCCCTTACTCATTACCTACCGAAAAAAGTGAGACTGGTCATTGGGAAACATTGCGAGAATGCAATTCTTGTCAGGGCACCACGGGGGTGTGTGGTGCGGGCTCCAGCTATTGTTCGCTCCGTCTCTCCGGCGGCGGCGGCGGCAGCGGCGGCGGCCTTTCCACGCGGCGTTGTTAACGAACGTGGCGTTTGCTGTTTGTGCCTGTGCACCGCTGCCGACGCAACAGCAACAGCAGCAGCAACGTCGCCAAATTATTTTGCCAAATAAAACCGAGATGTAACCAAGCGACTCCACGAGCACTCTGTGTAAAAACAACTCTGCCTGCCCCTCCCTCCCTCCCCCTGGTCACAGTTTACCGCTGCTCGACACGGGAAGCCCGCCTAAACTAAACTCTACAAACTATTCTTTATTTTACCAGGTAAGGCCCACTGAACTATGTAGCTCTTTTTCATAAGCGACCTGGCCGCAAATGAGAGCTCAACAAAGTGGCTTATCACTTGGACATTTATCGCGGCCAAATACTCTCAACTAAAGGTGGAGGGAAAAAACCAGAGGACCCGGAGAAAAAACTACGCGAGCACAGGGAGAGAGACATTTAAACTCCAGATATACAGGAGGCATCAGGGTCGGGATCGAACCCACGACCTCCTGTATACCAGGCGAGGTAGTTAACATCTCGCCACTGTGGCGCCAAAATGTACCGCCGACTGACACGGGAAACATGGCGAGCAAGCGCGTAAAGTTTCGGGCTGCGAGCCCAACTCGTGAGCGGACAGCCGTGGCAGGAAGGCCGACGTCGTTATCCGACACGAAATCGGTCGCACTTCACTCCCCGCGCGTAGCTGAAAGGCTTCGAAGAAAGTTGACTAAATCAGCGGCTTTTTAATTAAATAGAAGTCGAGCGGCAAAAAACCTCCTCTATCGCGACTGCCGTGATGACCACCTCCCGTGGTGACTTAATGCGTTGAGTCCACCACCCGTGCTGGCGACTCGGTCTGGACCAGACCATTGGAGTGTTTCGTTTCATCCACCGCACCGTGTTTAACCGCCACCACACTGCAGGTCACAACAACAACAACCACCACCAGGTAGCGGTTATGTCACCACGGCGCTTGTGCCATGATGGGTGCACTTTCAGGCCACGTTAAGTGTCGAAGGGCCGTTGGCCGGTCACGGAACAAACCCAGGTGCCACGGGTTGACTGAATAAGGTGACTGGCAGATGCACCAGCTGTGCTCCCCTCTGTGCCAACTCTTTGCGTTAGAGCCAGCCGACGCTCCGCTTGCTTTTGTGTCACAACAACAGACTCGCTCACCCACCAACTCACCTACCCACCTGCTCACTGCACCGCTCACTCGCCACACTGCCTGTCACAACGTTTCTCTCTCCGCTTCTTCCCTCGCACCAACGATCCGCTTTGGAATTCTCCCGTCGCCTCTCATCCCCAAGCTCTCACAACAACCTTCGTCAATTCCGGCAACGTGTTCACTCCTCGGACTGGGATTGATTTTAGCCGGCAAGGCCCCGTTGAGCTAGGCAGCTCCGTTACCGGGACGACCACGGCCCAAGATGGTCGGCCGTAGCGGCAGTTGCAGCACTTTGCAGTTACACAGAGGCCCACGGAGTTGCACAGAGACTCGCAGAGTTGCATCGAGCTCGAGAGAGTTACACAGAGACTCGGAGAGCACAGCCCAAGGCCGTCGGCATTGGCAGGCAGCCACTACAGGGCACTGCAGGGTGGAGGGAATGTGCAAACTGACGAGGAGCAACAACAACAAGAACAACAAATTATTTACACCGGGGAACCCACGCCAGAACTTACTACAAACAGGATAAACGATAAACGGTGCTTACGCACAAATCAACGACGGCGTAAAAGAAGATATCGCGTTTCAGACGCGAGTAAACAAAGTGCGTGCACAACCTCGGGCATAACGGAGATGCGCTACAGCGTGCGTGGGGACCGCGGCAGACGCAGCCCCTGCACGGTAGCCTTCACCCACACCCGCCTCGAGGAGGGGACCTGTGCAACATCGAGATCGGTTACGGCGACATTCCACAGCGTGGGTGGCTGTGCCATCATCGCAGCTTTGATGGTTCGGTCCTTTGGGCAGCCCGCGCTCAGCGACCGTGAAAATAAAAAATAAAAACCCAACGCACACACGGAACTCTGCTGGGTCCGCGACGGGTGCACGCGGCC